TCTCTCTCTCTCTCTCTCTCTCTCTCTCTCTCTCCTCTCTGTATCTATTTCTCTCTCTTCGTTTTCCTCCCTTCTGCAAGGCTCTGGGAGCCTGCGCCTGTTTTTTTGTTTTTTGTTCCCCACCCCCCCCTGGGGACCAGGCGCTGTGAGGTTTCACAGACAGCGTGCTGATGTCGCGCACCCAGGTGACTCTGAAGTCTGGGCAGGGGCATCAGCTCAGTCGATGGGATCCAGCCACACAGAGTGGTGGCGTCGTCACAACGTGGGGGCGCCTGTCGGTAGAGTCAAAGAAAGTGGCTTGGCCACCTGGGCGAAAAGGGCCGGCTTCAGCTGCGCGCTCTGAGGAGGCTCAGGCCCAGGGACTCGCCAGCCGCCAGATTTGAGCCAGAAGACGCCACTCAACGTCAGATGTCAAGTACCTTTCTGGAAAGTGAAGGAGAGTGTTATAAGAATCCATTCTTAAGACTTGAAGATACTCTTGTCCCCTTCTCTTTATTAATATTGCCTTAGGGCAAGTTTACAAAAAGATACTCTCCAAGCTTCCTTATCTTCCACTGAGTTTACAATCAACTTTTTTCTCAACTAATGTACATCCTGAATACCGCATCTGTCTAAGCTAAGAAGAATTTCCTTTTGGGAGGTGAAAGCCTGCAGCTCCTCCTGTTCAGAGGAAAGTGCTAGTGACAGTAATGCAGGGTGACACTAAATAAACAGTTAGGGTGGACTGGAAAGATGGAGTTAATTATCCAGTGAGCTGCGTTTCAGCCCAGACCATCAGGGGCTGATTTGTTTTGGCTCACAGTCCGAAAGAGACAAACCACTCTCTTCTCTACATCTCTTAGACATCCTGATCGTTGGTTTCTCCAACAACAACAAAACACCAAAACACTACCCAGGTGTCACCGCTTAGATTAAAATGTGGTTTGTTACTCCTCTGCAAACTCTGCAAAAATGTCCACTCCATTGCCCCCCTAACCCTGGAGAGAAGATCCAAAGTGATCCAAAAATGCACTCCCAAATTCTTCCCCCCACCCACCCTCCGCCCCCCAGAGGCCCATTGGTAAGGAAAATGGACACCCAGCAACCTTCCCCATCTCTTCACTTGGATTCTTACAATAAGTTTATATAACTACGTGTTTATAAAAATGTTAGCGTGGTTTTCACGATGGTTTTACTGCCCGCCCTCCTCCAAAAAAAAAAATCAGGCTTCGTGAAATTTTAGATGCAATTAGATTTATTGTTTGCGTGATTCACTGACTATCCGGTTTCCTCAGGTAAGCCTGCACTTACATATAAATCCTAGTAACTTAAAACGTTTCCCTCCCCACTTTGCTCTTCCCTCCCTCCCCTCACGCCACCACCCTGCCACATTCTGATATTAATAATCCCCGGCTGCCCCTCTTTCCGGGTCATTACGGTACTGCTGGTCTCTAATCAATCCTAATGCGATGGCAATTGGAGTCCCTGATGACTGCGGCTCGGGTTTCTTGTAATGGCTCTACCACATTTTCCTGGACCTCCTTCTTTAACCTGAGATGCCAGGGGGACGAGTCCCTTCTCGGCTGCTGATTACTTCAAGATGTGGGGGCTGGTTTAAGCAGAAGGAGAAAGAGACACGCGCACAGCGTGGCTACTACTGCGGGCTGGGCGGCTGGGGCGAGCAAGGCGTCTGCACGCCCGGCGCCGGCACCCGAACGCATTTCGCTACTCTCTTTTCTTTTCTCCCCATTTTCCAGGCCCAAACGCACCCTGGCGGACCGAGGTGAAGATTCTTAGAACATTACCCCCTCTCTCCGCCCCCCTCCCCCGCTGGTGCGGAGACGCCTCGTAGTCTCTCGGCCTCTCCAGTTCTCTAGTGTTCCCACCCTGCGGCGTCCGCCCCGGCTCCCGGGCCAGGCCTGCCCCTTGCTCAGAAGTTAACGCCTCTCCCCATTCCTCAGAGCCGGCCCCTCTTGCCGCCCAGTTATTTCCTCCTAGTACCATCCACCCTCTCCAATTTTAGTGTACTTGTCCCAAAGAGGAGCTGGATTCTTCCCCATCTCCCCCGCTGACCCTTGACCTCCTTCCCTTCCTTAACAGAGCAGTGCCTGGAGCTACTGGTTCCTGACCCAAAGACGAGGCCAGAGGTGTGGCCCGGTCCTGTCGGGATAGGACCCCTTCTCTCCCGACCTCTGAGGGGCCTTCGCTCAGTAGCCTTAACCTCCAGGAACAAAGGCCTAACACTTCTTTCTGCTGGTGCTATTGGGCGAGAAGACCAAGAGTGGGAGCTTGCGCGATACCTCCCTTTCCCCGGCGGAAATCTCGCTCGCTTCTCCCTACCACTGGTCCAGGCCTGGCAGCAAGGCGATCAGCACGTTCGCTGCATTTGTATTCTTCCATTTCTCAGACTAAAGCCATTTAGCGTAACCCGAGCTCGGGATAATTGCCACGTTTCTGCCGCGATACTTTTAAAAACAAGATAATGCTTCTGAATTGCGGAAGAAAGTGCTGCGGACAAATTGGGCGCTGAGATGCAGAGATGGATCGCTTTGTTGGGGCGGCCGGTGGTTTGTGACTCAATGAGTGCATTTCTGGGAGCCGCCTGCGTTCTGCAGCCGGGTCAGCTCGAGGCGAGCTCCCCCTGTGGCTCCTAGGCGCCGGGAAGGGTTGGGGTTGGGGTGGGTGCTCTTCAGACCTGTACCTGCGCCGGTGCAAATCCACGCCACGGGAAATGTTTCTGCATTCCCATATGAGTACATTGTTTGGGTTCTAAAGGATCCAGATTTTCGCGGACAGAACCTTGACTGCCTCTGCTCCGGACTGGGCCGCGCGGCATTTGTCTGAAGCACTAGTCCTCTGGGCTGTGGGAAATACACACTGGGTGGAGGGTAGTGGGAAGGTACCCACTCACCCATGCCCCTCCGCGCGTCTGGTCCACCCGCCCCAGCTTGGCTTTTGCAACAATGTTTCCAACACTGCTGCTGTGCTTGGCGCAGCCCTCCTGGAAACCCGCGGACCGCGGCGCTTTGGGGACTCGCGGAACAGGCCGTAAGACTTTTCCTTGCCTCTCTTCAAAGTTCACCCTCCACGCTCACCCATAACCCCCATGCAGGCCAGTGTCCACGTTTCGCCCGCCCATCCTAAGGTCGGGGGTAAGCCTCTTGGCCAGGTGCGCGCGCGCGGCCAGCTCGCGGCGCGCGGGCGCCGGGGAGAGCTCACAGCGCCGCGTGCTCGCGGCCCCGCCCGCTAGCTGGCTGTGCCCAGCCTGGGGGAGCCGGGCCTCACTCCCGCCCCGCCGCCTGCGCCAGGAACCCCTCCCGGGGGCCGCGTACGCGCCGGGGACGGCTCCGCCCAGTCAAGCCGCCAGAGGTCGGGCGTTCAGGCCCGGCTGACCTGGGGTCCGGACTTGAGCAAGCTTTGGACCCCGCCGCTCTCTCGCGTTGTTCCCTGGGGAGGTTACTGAGGCGTGAGGAAGGACTGGACAGGGCTGGGGAGGGCGGGGGCAAGCGCAAGACGCCGGGAGGTCAGCGGAGCAGAGAGAGGGCGCCGGCCCGCGGCGGGCGCGGCGGGAGGAGAGAGAGGGCGCTGTCTTCCTGGCAAAGGATTCCGACCAGCAGGAACCGAACCAAAACAAAAAGAGAGAAAGAAAAGAAAATCTGCCGGGTTGAGCCACCGGGGTGAGGGGCGCGCGGCGAGGAGGGGCTGGCTATAGGGTGACTGAATTGGATTCTCAGCCCACAACTCGGGAATCGCATGGTCAGCCGCGGCCTTGCCAGCGCCGCATAGCTCCGAGCAGGACTCGCAGGAAGGAGACTTCTTTGGCTCCTTGAGCTCTCCCCATAGTTGCCTTCCTTTAGGGCCATCTCGTCCTCGCTTTCTCCCTCGGAAAACTGGAAGCATCAGAGACGCTTCACTTGGGATTTGAGGTGCCCCAATTTGCCCGAGGCGAGCGGTGGTGGCGATGGTAGGGGGGTTGGAATCTGGATCCCCTTTCCAGCAGCGGAGCCCTCTTTTCAGTTTCGTGAGTCCTGCGGGAGGAAACCGCGACACTAGCCAGTCCTTCACATCCAGGCGCCGCAGCAAATGGCCTCACCTGGTTTGGAGACACCTTGTCCAGGAACAACGAAGAGAGAGAAGACCTTATTTACTGTCACCAGTTGGCCGGGGCGCACCCTTGGAGACCAGAGGGTCCAGAAGACAACTACTATCAACCATTCCCCACCCAAACTCACACATCTAAAACCGGAATTTACGTTAATCGGGAGAAACTGCTATCCGTCCATTCCAAAAGTACATATTTCTCTCTCCTTTACAAAGGATAATGTGTTCTTGACTTTCTGTGCTCATAATAAACCAGGCAAAGCAAAACAAAAAGGATCCCAAACTCACTCATCTTCCGGCTTGAAAGGTCCCTCTGTATTAATGGACGTAAAGGCTCTCCTGATTTGTACATAGATACTAGGACCGATCATCTTACATGTCCACCACCAGAGAGTCTCAAGCTCCAGGATCCCTCTGATTTTCCTGGGGAATTGTGACTCTTCCAAAGTCCTTCCAGCAGAATCCAGGTGGCCCTGTAGTTCAGCCTTTGGCAAGAGATCTATTTCCTAGGAGCAACTGGGTGGGCTTCAATCCGCCTGCCTCTTCACATTGAGAAACGCTTCTCTTGTGGGAACGTCTGTTTCTATTCATCCGATTTTGTAATTTCTTTGATCAGCCTAAATATTTTCTTGGCAAACGGAAATTGACCATGCCATGAATATGATAACCTGCTTGGGAAAAAAAAGCTATTTTGTTTCCAAGCAGCAGGAAAAAAAAGGAGTGGGTGAGTGGGGGGGGAGGAGCTGGCTGGTAGGAATGCCTGTAACAGATTCCTGCACATACATCTTTTTGCAGTCTCTGAGGCAGCTTTGTGAAAGCTGCCTTTCCCCCTAATATAGTTTCCTCCCTTTCTCTCCTCCCCTCAGATAAACACACACCTGGTCTCCTAAAAGTCTTTGATACTCTTTATAAAAAAAAAATAGAACTTCAATGGACGCCTCTGGAGAATTTCCCTTTAAAACATAGATGAAAGGCAACGTTAATACAATGTTCTCTTAATCCCTTTGCCTTCTGAGTCAAAATAAATATTTTCTTCTGCATGTGATTGTACATCCTGCCATTTGGCTGTGGCTATAAGCAAATCGACCGGTAATAAAAGTGTTTTGGGGTTGTGTATTAAATGCAGTTCTCTTGAAATCAAGGGAGGGGGGAGGAGCCTTACTTCACAGGCAAGAGTTGGTGGGTTTCTGAAAAAGCTGCAAGAAAAGGACCTTTCACCTCTCATTAGTGATGCCATCAGTGCTCGGGCAGAGTGGAGCTGAGGTCATGTTACATATGGCACACAGTCTGCTCAGCACTTGAAACGTCAGCTTTGAAATTTTAGAGAGGGGAAAGGTCATCTTTAATAAGCTAAAGTCTGGGGCTCCCATTGCCCTCATTGCAAACTGGGTGGGTTGTCCATATGCTTCAACCCTTCTGCACAAGTTTTTTTTTTTAATTTGCAGTTTTAAGCTGATTTTTGTTTCACATCTTCATTTAAGCCTTAATGTTTTCAGCTGTTAATACTACAAAGGCCTTTCATTTTTATAGCAACTCTGTCATCTTTCCTTTTCTTTTATGCAATCATAAAACCGTCTGTTCTGAGTGATAGCTTTTTAGAACTAAACTTCCCAGGAGAAATGAAGTGTATCTGTCCATCTGCATCCATGGATCCAGACATGTGGGCTATAGGGTTACCCTTCTGAGTGGGTAATTTAGACTTCACTCTTGTATACTACATAATTTACTGAACCTTCAAAACATTAAAACTTCCATAGTATGTAAAAGCTCTAGTTTCTGAAAACTTCCTGGGTTCTACTAAAATTTTTCATGCCAGTTACTGGAATTTAACATGTTATTTTTACCATGTGGGGGAAACTCTCAAATCAGAATATATTGATTCTTGTATTAGGCTTAAAGTTAAGGCTAACTGACAGATGCTATAATGGTAGTAGATACAATACTGAAAAAAAGTGCTAATATCTCACTTCCTTGTTCAGAAAATATTAGAAACATTTGTGAATGTTTAATCCTCAAATTTGTTCAAGAAGTGAAGTCAACCAAACCTAAGCCACTGAACTATCCCCAGATCTCTTTGTAGCCACTGTCAAGATGGATATAAATATTTTTCTTTCTAGGATCTCTGCAAGGAACTTCTCAGTAGTGATTTGTCATTTACTCAGCCCCAGGAACTTTTTTCCATATGGACCTACTGTCCAAGAGGAGCAGCCTCACCAAACTTTTACATGCATTTCTCACTTTTCTTTATATCTGTTAAACCATTTTATTTATCATATATCCTAGATTTTAGTTGTTTCTCCAGTTTTTTCTTCTATTACATAAAAGTTACGTTTTGTCCTTGTAAAATAAACTTTAGAAAATAAGGCAATTATGTATGCTAATCAGGTTCAAACAGACTCAATGATATTTAAAAATTCCTTCTACCACTCTGCAAATTGAAAATACTGGAACAATCTTCAAAGATCCTCTTGAGCCAACAAGAGGTTCCTCCTTACCAAAGAATTTAATAATTGCGATCTGCATGTAGGTGTTGGTTTGGTTTGTTTCTAGTTAGAGTCTCAAAAAATCCATAATTTTGGATGAGCAAAAATTTTTAAAAAACAGTCTGCATAATAGCAACCAGAACTGTATAGATGGGTAGGATGATTTTACAGCCAAGAATGACATCAAGTAAATAATTTATTTCAAATCACTTTCCTACGTTAGGGTGGACTTAGTGATACTTTAGCAAACCCAAAGCACTTGAGGCTTTGAGGACCCAAATGGTTTAGTAAGTCCAATCAATCTAGTCAATACAAAGTCAAGGTACAGATGCAGACACTGTAGTCTAAGGAGTGCCTGTGTGTTTGAGAGGAAGGTAGTATTATTTATTTATTTATTTATTTATTTATCTATCTATCTATTTATTTATTTATAAATTTTAAAGCTCCCAAAAATACTCCAGGAAAATTTAAGAGCAGATAGTGCAGATTGTGTTATCCCAGTAAGCCTGAAAAACAGGAAATGGAATATTTCAATAGGCAGGTTCATCAGTGACAGGTTGATAACTCATTAAAGGCCTATAAAAGGAATACTAATAATTTACACTTTTTATAGGATCTCTCACTCAAGAACAAGCCTGATCTCATTCATCTTCTTGGAACGTTGGGAGCTATTATCCTTATTACAAAGAGCGATGATCCCTATTACAAAAATATGGCAGAGGTTGTATTATTTGCCTGTGGAATTGTAAGTCAGAGACAGTTTGGGGATAAGAGCTATGAATCCCAGATCCTTCCCAATTTATCTAAAAAGCAATTTTCCATAAAAAGATCAATGATTACAGTGATTTGGATTTTGGATTTAGTGAGTGCTTGTAAAATGTTATTCTCCTTAAGTTTAACTCTATCATTCAGGTTCAAGATTTGTAAGAAATTTCATAAATGTCTTTAAATGACCAAGAAAAAGAAAATGTAACATCAAGTAGCATCCGTCCACATAGGTTTGGGAGTTCCTCCATCCTGGAAATAAGCCATAGTCTTGGTGCAAATGTCATGTGGGAGGAGACATACAGATTACAGAACCATGAGGTAATTACGACAGCTTAACTGTCCCACAGAGAAGCTATTAAGTGTTCATAAACAGGGTTATCGTAGAATACATATTCTCTGACAAGATTTGACCTGTACCTTCAATGCTTACAATTCTTTCTTTGGCTTCTTTAAGAGAAGGAATACTAGAAATTCCAGAAAAGTAAGGATTGGTTAATCTTGAGGGCAGTGCTTCACAAATTTTAGCAGGTGTGTGAATGACCTGAGGCATGTGTAAAAAATGCAGCTGGACTCTACCCTTAGAATTTTTGATTCCCTAGGTTTAAAGTGGGGACCCTGTAATCAGCATTTCAACAAGCACCTCAGGTAATTTCAATGCAAGACATTAGTGGGCTATTGTTTGAGAAAAAAAAAACATTCACTCTGCTTGAGGTAGGAGCATTTAAAAAGGAAGGTTCTATCAGCAGGAATAAAGTTTAAACTTCAGATATTGACCTAACTGTAATTTACTTTTCTTTGTATGATTTTTAAAAGAGGACTCTTAAATTAGTTTTCTACCATAGGGGAGGCTCTAGGTTTCTGATGAATTTTGTAGGAATTAAGGTGTTTCCAGCTAGTAATTAGATAAGAAATCATTTGTCCTCTTTAAGTGATTGTTTCTGCTGAATGGCTAGCAGGGAAGTGACACCAAACCAGGAGAATGAGACAAGAAAAAAAAATCTCTGAAGGAAATCCAAGCACCAGTCACAAAAATTAAGAACATCTCATGGGCCAAAGAACAGTGCATAGCAGTGTGATGGAAAACGAGCCAGCATTGCCTTCTGAATGCCACCTTAAAAACCAAACATTTTTAAAACATCTCTCAATGGGCAAGAACCCTTTAAAACAGTGTAATCCAATTGGTCCCCTGTCCCCCAAGATTTGCAAGAAATGAAAATGCTCTGGAGAGTTGCCACACTATGATAAAAAAAATAGAAAATAAAATCTCAAAGGAAGTTAAAAGTGTTGTCTCTACTTCAAATAGTGGTCATTTGTTGCTTATAAAGTTATAGAAAGAATTTTTATAATAAAGATACACAACCACATAAATCACAGCTTCTTGCTTATAAGAGGGAGTTTAAATACTGGAAAAGATTGATAATCATAATTTATTATTTTTCTCCCTTGGAATATTATTTGAAAATAAAATCATGGAAACACAGACACCAGATTCTGCTGTTGGGGAGGCCAAGAGGTAATTAGTTGAACCTACCATTCTAAGAATCCCTCAGAAAACATTTTTTTTTAAATTTTATTGGGTAACAGCCATGGTTACACATTGCTTTCATGCCACAATGGCATAGTTGACTCTTTTAGGGAGGGCGCAGCTCACAGTGGCCCATGCAGGGATCAAACCGGCAGCCCCAGTGCTATCAGCAACATGCCCCAACCAACTGAGCTAACCAGTCACCCACCAGAAAACATTCTTGATGAGACAGCCCCCAGCTCAGCTTAAATACTTGAGTATTGGAGAACTCACTACCTCACATCTATTTTGCATGTTTCGAGACTCACCAAAACAAGAAAGATATGTATGGTAGTAACACAATCACATGGAATCCATGATCCTGTACAAACTAGATAAAATGTAAGAGAAACAGAGGGATCTTCTAATTACCTGTTGGTTAAGTAGGAAGTTAGAGTAATCTACTAGCTAAACTGCTTTCTCAAGTTTCCGTTTTAGGCATTTCTACTGTTTGCCCACTGCCTAGTAGGCTGCTGGAGTTCACTATAGGAAAAGTAAATATTGTCATTTCAAATAAAGAACTGTTTATTATATAACAGAACAGAGGCTGTCTTCTATTTTTGAGACTCTGCTAAGTTAATTGGGGACAGTAGCCAAAGCAGCTGCCCAGGAGATGGTGTTTTCCAACAGCTACAGTCCTTAAAGCTAAACGGGGTTCATGTTTGTCTGCAAAGTGGCAATCATGTTGTTCTTTTCATTGCATTCTCTTTGGCTCCTGTAGGGGTTGAGTAAATGGGGGCACCATTTGTACTACTTTACCAGCCCATTTGATCCCTGTGGTGAGGGCAAACCATAAGCCAAGACAGATCAAAGTCAAACCTGATGGCCTGCTACCATTAATGGGCTTCAGTCCAGACTCTTGTCAAAGAGAGGGGAAAGATTGAGTTGATGCCTATTTCCATCTAAATCTGGGGTTCCAAAATTTTGATAGGTTTGGATTGGGCTTAGTATTTTTTGATAACTTCACATCCATTTTGATGGAGATTTGTCTGCTGCCCACATTTTGAGAAATACTGGTTTAAATACATGATAAAGAAAAGAAATCTGGACTGAGTGATGATTAAAGCTTTGCTTAATAAAGTAAAATGTTTTTCAGGAATAACACTTTGCATTTCTATAATGCTTTCTATTTTTCAAAGGGCATTTTACATTTGATCCTCATTTGTGCAATGGATGAGGAGGAATAATATTAATTCCATTTTACTGATAAAAAAGTGACTGGATAAGTGGTAGAATGAAGGCTGGAAGC